CCTACTTCCGTAGTGATACTGCCTCGGAAACCCAAGGAGGGGTCACTATGAGTCAGGGCTGACTCGACGGCACATAACAACAACAACAACATAATATGTTCTATAGAAATGATTCAGTACCTTGCCTTCCTCAAAGAAAAGACTGAAAATCATATTTCCCAATGGCTTGTACCTAATTCTTTTAATTGTAAAAGTAATACAAAGTAATACACACTCATTGTAAAATAAAAAGTACCAAATTTAATCAAATCACAATGGAATTTCTTTTTATTTTTTGACTCTTTTCCATTTCCAGATATAGAGCTTGTAAACATTCTGGTGTATATCTTTCTAGCTATTGTTTATATCTAGAAAACATTTTATAAAATCTACTAAATAAGAATAAGGGAGCTCTGGTGGTGTAGTGCCTAAGGCATTTGACTGCTAACCAGATGGCTGGCAGCTTAAACCCACCAGGTACTCCTCGGAAGTAAGACTGGGAAACCAAAGAGAAGACAACGTTTTGAGAGATGTCACTTTATTTTTGAAAGATGGAAATCAGATTGCCAGGGGGTAGCTGACTTAGCAGAGGCATTAAAGCTGTAACCTAAAAGAGTTTCACAAAAGAGAAATTCAAGAAGAAGCAAGGGAATTTGAGAGGCGGAACTCCAAAAAGGATCAGGTACCAGGTACCTGTGAAGATTAGGATGAGGTGGAGTTGAAAGCAAGACCATATCGCCTCCCAAGGACTCTCATTTAGGCAGTTGACACTCACTTTGGCCAAAAAAAAAAGTTCTTTTACTTTAGGAAGAATTGAACCAGAGAGGCTCTAGTCACAAGAACATCAAGCAGAGTTGAAGGGTGTGTGTGTGTAGTGGGAAGTATGGGGGGGGACAATGCTGAATTAAGAACAGGATGTTAAGTGCAGATCTCTCAGCACTCTTTCCCCTACTTAGCCTTCACAATGCTAGCAATGAGTCTTAAACTCCCAGACAAGAGATTGTATGTAAATCTGAAAATTACTCAGCAGAACAACCAAGTTCCTTTTAAATCACATGACAGCCATATCTACCCTTCCATGAACCTTGCTTATACACAAGCCATCAGCTATTGAAGTCCTCATTCCTAAGCATGGATGATTAGTTGAGGATTACGAGATATGGGAGCAACACGTCTAAGATGAAAGACAAAGACCAAAAGGAAAATAGGTAAAGAAACCTGGAAGAAATAGAAAATGGAAGAAGCAGGTGGGAAGCTTTAAAAAACCAATATCCTTAAGCAAAAATTAATTTTCTTGGGTCGATAAGATGGTACAGCCATAAAACAACTGAATAATATTTTTGAAATTCAAAATAGAAAAAAAAGTGCTTAGAAATTAAAATTGATAGTAAACATTAAAATTAAATAGAAATGTTGAAAAAATGTATTGTTTTCAATGTTTTAAAGATATTATTTAATCTTTGTAATAACCTTAAGAGGTTGGTACTGTTGTTATCTTGATTTATAAATGAGAATGCTGAAGCACAGATGTTCAATATCTTGCTCATGCTCAAATGGCTTGTAAGTAGAGGGCAGGCTTGAAACCTTGGCACACTGGCCACAGTCCTGTGCACTTAAATTCTTCACTATATTATTTAGACCATTTTTGGGAAAACATAAGAGCTAGCAAGAAGCAGAAAAGCCAACTGAATTCCAAAACCCCAGAAAGGCTCAGAAATTGGAAGTACCAAATACCAAATGAGGCATGGGGCAAAAAACAGGACAATTGATTGAGAGTTTGTATTAGGGAAAGGAAAACCACCAGGTCCTTTTCTATAACCTAGTCAACTAGGAAACCTCTTTTGCCCATGTGACAGGGGAAAGAAGTTTATTCTTTGGAGAAATTGAACCAGACAGGCTCTGTGCTTTAGAGCACCTAGGATAGTAGAGGACAGCCATCCTATTAAAAATAGTAAGATTAAGTGAAAGTCTACATATTGAATTGTAAAGCACTCACCATCTTACATCCAGCTGGGTTTTTAAAAGGCAGACTGTCAGTCTAAGATGGAGAGCAAAAAAATGAATTTAGAAGATTACCCAGGATGTCCAACAACATAGTAATTTGTTTCAACAAGAAATGAGAGGGGAAAAAATTCAAGAAATAAAGCAAAGATTAGTGGACTTCTGGTAAGATGGCAGAATAGGCAGACAAGCTACACAGACCCTGTTCAACAAAGAAAAGATAAACCAGTTGACACAGACACAGAAGATAATCTTGGAGCCCTGAGCTTTGAAAGGAAGGATACAGAAGGGGATTAAATACCAACTAGTAGAAAAACAGGAATGAAAACAGTGAATAAGGAGACAAACAGACTTGCAGACTCTTGGTGATCCTGGTGGCACAGACAGTTTGAATATTTCCAGGTGGTGTTAGGCCTGAGAATTAACTTAAAAATCAGCCCTGCTCACCAAGGGCTGAACGGATGATTGCATGGGTGGCTGATGACTGGAAAGGGAAGCAGCAAAGAAGGAGACACACTGAGTTGTGGACTTTTGGCTGTCAGGAAAGTGTAGCCATTTTGAATGTTTACAAGCAGTGTGACCATTTGGGTTATTTAAAATGACAGCATTCTTGTTTAGAGCCCAGGGACCTAAGAATAGGCACCATTTGTCAGGGACAGCACAGAAACACTGGAGGCTGATGACTGGAGAGACAAGTGGTGAGTGCATAAGTGCTTCCAACTAGTGAATAGAGGAACACAGTATCCTGCTTACTCAGATATATCCAAAGAAAACAAGTATCTTGGGTGAATCACACCAACATACAATCACCAACTAAATATAAATACAACAATGTAACAATGTCTCTGAGACAACACACAACCACAGTCCACACAAAGAAGCAAGATAAAGTAGTAAAACCAAAGGACCAGGATATAGATCCAGAAAACACCCCTGAGGAAGACACAGCATTGGAACCCCCTGATAAGGAATTCAAAAGGATTTTATTTAGGTACTTTCAATGAGTTCAGAGACAGATCAATTGTCTCTAACACTGACAAAATTGAGGAAAACTGACAAAACCCTAGAACAATTTCAGAAGACAACCCAAAAACAAAATGACAAAATAAATGAAAAATTAGAAATGATACAAAATCTACAGATAGCAATCCAGAAGATTAATACTAAAATTTTAGAAATAAATAACATATTGAGGAGTCAACAGTGTAGAATCGAATTAATGGAAGACAGAGTGAGTGAGATTGAAGACAAATCCCTCAAAAGTTCTTTGGTAAGGGATCAATCAGAAAAAAAGATCAAAACAAAATGAAGAAAGCCTAAGATTCATGTGGCATACCATCAAGAGGAATAACCTATGTGTAACTGGAACCAGAACAGGAAGAGACAAATAAAAGCACAGAAAAAATTGTTGAAGATTTGTTGGAAGAGAATTTCCCTGGTATGATGAAAGATGAGAATTATCCATTCAAGATGTCCAGTGAACCCTAAACAAGATAGACCCCAAAAGAAATCACCAAGACATATCATCATCAAACTCACCAAAACCAAAGACAAAGAATCCTGGAAGCAGCATGAGAAAAACAAAAGTTATGTATGAAGGGCAACCAAAAGACTAAGTTCTGATTTCTCAGCAGAAACCATGCAGATGAGAAGGTAATGGGATGGTATATATAAAACCATGACAGAAAAAAATTTCT